CAGAGAGGGCAGCCAGCTGTTCCCAGTGAGCACTTCAAGTAGTCAGATCTTCCCCAGATGTTCTGTAAAAATAAACCAGGCCTTAGATAGTTTGGGTCAGTGGACAGAGCATCGGCCTCTAGTCTATAACAATAAAAGCATAAATGCTAATTAGACCTAACGACCTTCTGGACGAAGCCGGGGCTGCGAGGGAAGCCCGGGTCCCGGGTGCCAGAGGGAAGCTGGTGCCAGCGGCTAGGGGAAGGAAGGCCTACTCTTGCACGAATTTCATGCCTCTAGTATGGTAATACTATGCTTAACTTTTTGAGGAACTGCCGACTGTTTTCCCATAAACACTTTTTAAGTGGTTTAATCCTAACTAACTCAATAAAGGAAACTGTTGGGCATTCCTTTGGGCCTAGGGACGCTGTGGGAAGATTACTGACATACCAAGGGTGCCCTGTGTGGGAGGAGGGCGTTTGGAAACCACTTAGGGATCACTTGCTGTACCACCCAGGCACCACGGGGGCGCTCTAGAGGCCACGCAAGCAGTCCTCTCCCTGGAGTAACTGAACCACCAGTGCTTTAAGGTGTCAGCAGAGAGGGGGTGGCATGGAGGTGGAGTGGATCGGTGCTGCTTTAAACAAGTCACCTGGGAAGCCAAGGTGAGGCAGTGACATTGAACAGAAAGAGGGAAAAACAGGTGGGGCCTGCAGAGGAGTAGGGCCAGTGTCCCAGGAGGAAGAGCCGCACATGCAGAGGGTCTGAGAAGGAATATGCGTGGGTTTTGGAAGAACAAGAAGGCCAATGTGACTGGAACAGGGAAGGTGGTGGGGGTGGTCAGTGACGAAGCTGGACAGGTGGGTGGGGTGGGGTCATACAAGCGCCTCTGCCCCCATGGGGCCCAGAGTGGAGGAGCCAGGTATTAATCAGCAGCCCCCCAATGAACATGATGATAAAGCACATACTCCTCTGCCTGTAACAGAGGAATTTGACTGAGTCTGAGACTTCGGGGGGAGACAGAGAGATGGGCTGAGTGGGAGCCGATCATCAGCTAAACTGTCCAGACAGACAGGACAGCTCGTGCAAAGGCCCTGGGGAGCCTGAGTCAGAGGAGCTGAAGGAAGCAGGGTGGGGAGGGGCGGCCCGGAAACCTAGAGCAGCAGAGACTAGGGCCGTGGTCGGCAAACCGCGGCTCTCGAGCCACATGTGGCTCTTTGGCCCCTTCAGTGTAGCTCTTCCACAAAATACCACATGTGGGCACGCACGTACAGTGTGATTGAAACTTCGTGGCCCATGCGCAGAAGTCGGTATTTTGTGGAAGAGCCACACTCAGGGGGGCAAAGACCCGCATGCGGCTCGCGAGCCGAGGTTTGCCGACCACTGGACTAGGGGATGAAGATAGAGAGACAGGCCCATTTCATCCTGAATGCGGTATATCTGTGTTTGACCCAGGCTGGAAATGACTGTGACCTAGGCCAGGGGCAGGCGTGTGAGATGGAGTCCAGAGAGAGATTCCAAGGAGGAAGAGCTAGTGTCTTGGTGACCGGACTGGTGACATTTCCGCCAGGGAAGGGTACAAATTGAGGCCAACGGGCCACATGTCTAAATTGTTGAAAGTTCTAAATCAAGCTAACAAAACCCTATATAATGAAAGCGTAGTGTGCAAATTGTCCCCTCGTCTGGGAGGTCGTCTGGACGTTCGACCAGGGGGTGAGGCCAGCCGGGGGAAGTGAAGGAGGCCCCGGCCGGCAGCCAGCAGCCGCTAGGGACCCTACCAGTGCATGAATTTCATGCACTGAGTCTCTAGTGTTAAATAAAATGCATTCTGTCCTCCTGTTTTGACAAACACAACCTCACAGCAACTTGGGAGCCAGATTCCAACTGGAATTCTCTGACTCCAGGTCCACTGGTGGGCATCCCAGCTCCATGTGGCAGCTCCACCCATGTCCCCTGCAAACAGCTTCCTCTGGCCACACCTTGGGCCTTGGGGTACTCACCCCAGCCGTGGGGTCACTGGGTGATGAACCCATGGAGGGGTTGGAAGTTGGGCTGGGAATCCCAAGGTCACAGGTACCTAGAGCTCGATCCAGGACAGTGAGCCCCTCTGGGCGCTGTGTGGATGGGTAGGACTAGACTGGAGCCCTGTGGAGAGTGGCCAGGGCAGGCCCGCCTCTTGTCCAGGTCTGGGTGGGGCTGTTGGCTGTAGACTGGATCTCATGGGATGGAGTGTTTATGAGGTACTGCAGATGCTTTGGGGTTCTTGGCCTTCAGAATAGAAGATGGCTTATGCACAAAGATGGGGGGTCTCTGGAAAGAACTAGTTTGGGGGGTAAAAAGTATAGGCTCTTCTCAGACATGCTAAGGGGCCGTTGAGACATCCATGTTGAATTTTGGGGTCTGGTGCTCGGAGGAGAGATCAGGCCTGGACATATAAATGTGGAGTCTTTGTTGAGTAGATGGAAACTGAGGCAGTGGCCTGGACAAGATCACTCCGGGGCAGAGAGGAAAGCAGCATGAGGGAGCAGGGGGCCTGGATTAAACACTCACAGACCAGGGCATGCAGATAGGGGCAGAGGACCTGTAGAGCTAAGTATCACTCGGCAAGCACCGCCTAATGCTCCTGTACAGCGATATCGTAAACGTAATTCAACAAGCTCTGCTCAATGCCAGGCTGCACGAGACCCGACCTTCCAGACGGGTGTCTCCAGGGCAGGGAACAAATGATCTTACAGGAGACACCCAGGGAGGGCAGACAGGGGACCACTGGGGCCCGAGAAGTGTCTCTGAAAAGGGAGGTTTGTGTTAAATATTTGCTTGAGAAAAGCAGAAGGTGGAGCCAGTCCTTCCAACCCCCCCCACCCCCACCCCACATCCTTGCTCCCCCAATACCAGGGGTGTTTCTGGAAATCCCTGCCAGGGACCAGGCTTCTGGTGCCCTGTTCTCCCAAGTCACTTTTTTCAGAGTTAATGAGTGCAGACTCGCAGCACTGAACAAGGCATGTCCTTTGAGCAAATAACATTCAAATCACGCAGGAATTTCTCAAAAGCAGCCTAGCGAGTTGCAGCAGGAGCAGTCCTTCGAGGAGAGGGCTGGACCTGGAGGAGGGGAGAGGAGGAAGGGGCGAGGCCTGGTGATGGGCGTGGCCTGAGGAGGGGGCGGGGCGCGAGCAGGCCGGCCTCCACCGCGCAGTCTGGCGGGCTGATCCAGCGGGAGGACCTGGAGCACGGGCATTATTACAGTCGGTCGGTCCTGGACTGGTTGCAGGACCTACGTGACCATCCGCCCAGAGGGCTGTGTGGAGGACGCGCTGCTCCGGGAACCCTGAAGAGCACAGATGGGTTTCCACTTCACCAGCAGCACACCCACCACAAGTGACAGATAACCCGCACTATTATCCCGGGTGCACGCAAGCGCGCTGTCTCCTCGGAGCCCACGCCATCCTGAGCAGGGACCCCAGGCCCCCCATTTCAGGGGACCCCCCCAGGAGGGTCCTCGCTCCTGCCTTCTCCGTGGCCTGCGGGGTCGGTCCGGTCCCCACGCGGGGCGTAGAGGCTGCGTGGAAAAGGGGCCATCCGCTCGCAGCCGGCGCGCCCGGAGGCTCGGACAACACAGCGCCCATTGCGATGCGCTGTCCCAGGGCGCGAGGCCGGAGGAAGCGGATTTAGAAGTTTTTAGGGAAATGCCCGCAGAAGCCCAGGAGCTGGCATTTCCCCCTGCCGGGCCTCCCCTCCTCGCCGCGCACCCCGCGGGTAGCTGTCTCTCCTCTGAGCGTCTGGCCCCAACCCACCTGGCCTCGAGCCCCTTTGGTGTCCCCGTCTGTCCAATACCTTGCACCGTCCACCCTGCACTTGTCAGACGTGGTCGCATTCATCCATCCTCACGATGGCCACCTCCCTCATCCGAGATTCAAAACAGGCACTATTATTCACCTAATGTTTTTCTTTAACTGGGTCAACTTTTGTTTTTACCTAAAATGTATTAAAAGTGACATTATGCTTTGATTAAAGGTTTCCATTAACACTAGTGAGCTCAATTATTTCAGAGAATATGAATGTTTACAAAATTATGTATGTTTCTTTGTTTATTAAGAAAATTGCTACAGCCTAGCTGGTTTGGCTCAGTGGATAGAGCGTCGGCCTGCGGACTGAAGGGTCCCAGGTTCCATTCCGGTCAAGGGCATGTACCTTGGTTGTGGGCACATCCCCAGTAGGGGGTGTGCAGGAGGCAGCTGATCGATGTTTCTAACTCTCTCTATCCCTCTCCCTTCCTCTCTGTAAAAAATCAATAAAATATATTTTAAAAAAAAGAAAAAAAAGAAAATTGCTACAGCTTATTAAGATGGAAAATTCAATTTAATATCCAGTTTGTTTTATTTAGTATTCTGATAAGATTTATTGTATTTTAAAGCTAACATTGAAAGCTTTAAATTGTAACTTGTATGTGCATAATCTCATACATAAACTGCTGTTAAGGTTTATTTTTTAAAAGGTTACAAATAGTAAAACATCTTCACTTCAAAAATGACAGATCTTTATATTTTGTGTCTTTTAAATTATTTCAACAAAGTTATTTGCTGTGTTCATTTTAAATCTTTTCACCTAGTTTGTCACTGCTGCTTGCTATGCTTTTATTATGTTAAATATTTGCACAACAAAATCAGACTAAATCTTTTCTTCTCTTTTGACACTTTAATCTCATAAATTAACGTAACACCAAGTGTTCTCTGTCAACAATGGGCAGACATCTTCTATCTCTCCCTTGGGGTTTCTTAGATGGCCACAGAGTAACCATGAAGATTTAACCCCTGGAATTATAAAATAAATAATGCTAAAATAGTCATTAACATATTACCACTGGAAGTTACTTTTATACTTGGAAAATACACCTTACCTGCCATGACCAGTGACCATTAGCATAAATAACATGGACTCTGCTATAATCCCAGAGGGTTTAGAACCCTGCTTGTCTTCACAGTCCCTGCAAGGACTTCCTTTTCCTCTGAGAGATTAGAAAACTGACCTTCAGTGAGCTGAGTGGTCCCGGTGAGGAACATGGCCACGTCTGGGGGAGGGGCCTGGCCAGTCCACCCAGCCCTGACCGTGATCTTTGTCCGGTGACCGTTGTCCCCTCTCCGATTGCACCTGGGGGCTGGCTCTGGAGGCCTCGGTATGTATATCTGGTTCCCTGGCCTCGGAGCCCAATGCTGAGCCTACAACACATAGTTCATAAATAGTTGTCAAGTGAAGCAGGCAGACGGTTAAATAAATGGAATTGGTGTGTCTTCTTACGAGGCTGGTGTGCACTGTTAGTCACCTATGCTTCTGAGACTGTGGAGTCTACACGGAGTCTAGAGAAAAGTGCCCCGAGCTGAATCCAGGAAACAGCTCAAGTGACTCATTTTCTAGTCAATTCATTTCCCCCCACCGAAATAATGACGTTAATGTCAAGTTATTTTTATATACTCAAAATCCCGATGATTTTTAAAACGTTGGTTTAAATGTTGGTCCCATGTGCTACAAACAAGCTTGAAGTAACCATTGGGCATCACAGTCTCAAGGAGATCCATTTTGATGCCCTGATTATGCGGAAAAGGATGTGGCAGCCTGTTCTTCCTGAAAGGCCTGGGAACGAGCCCTGCCCTGTTCCCACCAATGAGTACTCTCCAAAGGGAAGCCCCGTGGGGGTGGGGAGGTCCGGGCTGTGTACAGAGCAGAAATGGGGCTTCATTATTGGCTGTGAAATAAGATGATCATGTGCCCCGTGGAAGGTAGGGCTACGATCAACTTCTGCTTTTCAGGTGACTAACGCAAAAATACAGTTAATATCATTAAAATGCTCCCTCTTTTACCGCCCCATCCTGCCCTCATTATTCATCTGTGTTGGCTAAGAATAAGTCTTCACTCACCGTACAGTCCTACAGGAATGAGTGGTTTTTAGCTGTGAAGTTTGCAATCACACTTCTCGACCTCTGATCCAGATATCTTTTCAACAGTGGGGTATATTCAGGCTGAAATTCCCCCCACCCCCCACCACCAAAGGTGGAAAAACATCTTTCCTTTCCAAGCGATTTGTTGTACGTAAAAAAGACACCGTTTTCTAGGAAAGGATGGGGAACTCCTGCTGTCTTTGGAACATTAGATTTGCTGATGGGGTAATTTAAAAAAAAAAAAGTTACTTCCAAAGTAAAAACTTTGGCATAAAAAAAAAAGCAACACATGATTCCCCACGAATTCTGCTGAGTGGAAAAAGCCAGTTCCCCAAGATCCCACACTAGATGACTTCTGTGTGCAAACGCAACATATTTTAAAATATCACATTTTTAGAAATAGAGGAAAGATTAGTGAGAGCTAGGGCTTGGGAGTTCGGTTATAAAGGGACCACCGGGGGTCCTTGCCTGATGGAATGTTCTTTGTAAAGACACGAACCTACTACGCAGGCAATACATTGAATAGAAGTTAATACACACAAAGGAGGACGGGGAAATTTTGGGAAATTTTATTAAGATCGGTGGATTGTATCAAAGTCAATATCTTGGTTATAATATACTTTTCCACCTTTTTTGCAGTTTTGCGAAGTGATAGCACTGGGGGGGGGGGGGGCACGGCAACTGAATTACTTCCCACCTCTGCCTGAACGATCTAAAACGTGACAGTCTCTGTGCGCCCGGCCTTTGCCCACGTCCCGCGGTGGGTCTGCGGGGCCCGGCTGCAGGGGCGGGGCCGGCGAGGGCGGGGCGCGCGGCGGAAGTGACGTCAGGGGCGGGGCGCGCACCTGAGCACCTGGGCAGCGGGCCGAGGTTGGGGGCGGGTCCAGCTTTGAAGGGAGCGGGGAGGAATAGAGGGGAAAGGAGAACCCTTGGGCCCTGGGGGTTCTGGCGACCTTCTCAGGCGGGCGAGTTCCGGGCTGGAGAGGGCCGGCTCCGCGGGTTTCGGCAGGTGACAAAGAGGCGCCAAG